ACTGATCAAGGAGAGATTCAACCTAGATATAAGAAGAAACTTTCTGACAGTGGGAACGATCAGCCAATGGAACAACTTGCCTTCTGAAGTTGTGGGCGCTTCATCACTGAAGGCTTTCAAGAAGAGATTGGACTGACATTTGTCAGAAATGATGCAGGGTCTTTTGCTTGGGTAGGGGGTTGGACTAGATGACTTATAAGGTCTCTTCCAACTCTGTTAATCTGTCTTCAGCCCTTCAAATCTGATATTCTCTGTAATGGTATGATTTTGAAAAGCCTACAAACCCACTGGCACACCCAATGGCTGCTTTAGAGGTTGTAACGTTAAAAGGGAAACCGTAGCTTAGTTGTCCAGTTTGAAACATCCTAACTTCCTTCTCTCAGACTGGCAGTGATGAAGAAAACCATCCCTGAATCTGAAAAAATGCCAATAAAAACAGATCCAGTTTAGCCATTCTAATTTTTTAACTGTGCCTAATGAAATGTCATTCTTTCGTTGAATTTAGGACTGGAGCAGAAAGCAATACAACAAATAAATTAAGAGGCAGAAACCTAATTGCAGCTCACATCATCAGAGTCATAGAGTGCATGGGCTGATGTACGACTGAAACTGAAATTCTAAATTTGTAATGAGGGAAGCTAAGGAAGATGGATTGGTCATAGAGATACAGAATGCATAAAAGAGGAATTACAAGTTAACAATTGTAGTGCGTTAGAAACCCATTGTATGTGTGAAGTCATCACTGACAAGAGTTGGGAAATGAAATTTACATAATCTTATTAAATTCATTTATTATTAAACTTAATTGCTGCCCATCTCAGTTTGACCCTTGTGACCCTTGCCTTGCCCTATTATTCATAGCAACACTGACAATACCCATTTTTTACATGTCAAATGCTTCTATTAATTCTAACATAATGCATTTTGAAAAATAAGACATTTTCTGTTGTACATTTTTTCCCTCATGTTAAGGTAGCAAAACAGAGAGGTTTGTCCCTCTTCTGCGTTATCAGTGTGGACAGTATGGTAAAATAGCATCCGCTTCCACAAGTAATAATTCCACAATATTATATAATTTCTTGATTAACGTTTCATCCACCACTAACAGTATTTGATCAAATTTTGTTTGCTCTTTATAAAAGCCATATATCTTAACATCTTTCTCATATCTTGGTTGCATCTGCATATGTGGCCACCATGATAAATCAACATCCTGTTTCTGTTGTTCTTGTTTAGCTTTTAGATCACAAATGAAATTCAAGCATTTTCTAAATTCAATTACTTTTCCTCATATTTGTTTGCAATATTTATTTGTGTGCAATAAGGAATGATTTATGCTTGAAACAATGTCTGCAGACTGGACAATTCAAAGATTACTCCATGGTGTGAATACTCTGGTGTATCACTAGGTAGGAATTCTGACTGAAACGTTTCCTACAGTCAGGACATTCAGAGGGTTTCTCTCCTGTGTGAGTCCTCTGGTGTATCACCAGTGTGGAATGGTGACTAAAACTTTCCCACAAATTAGGACATTCAAAGGGTTTCTCTTCTGTGTGAGTCCACTAGTGTTTCACCAGGCTGGAATTATCACTAAAACTTTTCCCACAGTTAGGACATTCAAAGGGTTTCTCTCCTGTGTATACTCTGGTGTTTCACCAGACTGGAATTACCACTAAAACTTTTCCCACAGATAGGACATTCAAAGGGTTTCTCTCCCGTATGAGTCCTCTGGTGTTTCACCAGACTGGAATTACAACTAAAACTTTTCCCGCATATAGGACATTCATAGGGTTTCTCTCCTGTATGAGTCCTCTGGTGTATCACCAGGCCGGAATTCTCACTAAATCTTTTCCCACAGATAGGACATTCGTAGGGTTTCTCTCCGGTGTGAGTCCTCTGGTGTCTCATGAGGTTGGAATTTGTAATGAAACATTTCCCACAATCAGGACATTCACAGGGTTTCTCTCCTGTGTGAGTCCACTGGTGTATTACCAGGTGGGAATTACGGCTAAAACTTTTTCCACAAATAGGGCATTCAAAGGGTTTCTCTCCTGTGTGAGTTCTCTGGTGTATTACCAGTTCAGAACTGCGACTAAAAATTTTCCCACAAATAGGACATTCAAAGGGTTTCTCTCCTGTGTGAGTCCTCTG